ACAAAAACAATTCGCGGTTGCCAACGAGCTTCCCGAGATTGCTATATGGGCAGCTACTTGCGAGCTGAAAAATCGCCAGTATAGCAATTACAGAAAGAAGAGGAGCTCGCGATTCGGCAGATCAAACATGGCAAAGATCCGACCGTCCGCGAACCTCGAAAAGACTTGGTCACTCAGGTTTGCATCGACGAAACCGACCCCGAAAGGCGCGTTGGTATCGGAATCGATCTCGCAAAACCTATCCGTGACGAGCTGATCGCCTTCCTAAAGGAAAACATCAGCACATTCGCATGGTCCACCGCGGACATGCCCGGGATTGACACTAGGATCACGTCTCACGAGCTGAACGTAGATCCCACGTTCAAACCCATGAAACAAAAACGTCGAAAACTCGGCCCAGATCGGGCTAAAGCAGTAAACGACGAAGTAGACCGACTACTCAAGGTAGGCTCGATCAGAGAGGTGAAATACCCCGACTGGTTAGCTAATCCTGTAGTTGTCAAAAAGAAAAACGGAAAGTGGAGAGTCTGTATCGATTTCACAGACCTTAATAAAGCTTGTCCAAAAGACAGCTATCCACTTCCTCATATAGATCGCTTGGTCGAAGCTACGGCTGGTCACCAGCTCCTATCCTTCATGGATGCGTTTTCTGGGTATAATCAAATCAAGATGAACCCAGAAGATCAGGAGAAAACAGCTTTCATAACAGACCGAGGTACTTACTGCTACAAAGTAATGCCATTCGGGCTAAAAAACGCGGGAGCTACATATCAGCGCCTCGTAAACAAAATGTTTGCCGATCAGCTCGGTAAAACAATGGAGGTGTACATAGACGATATGCTGGTCAAATCCTCTAGGGAAACAGACCACGTCGCACAGCTCCGGGTATGCTTCTCCATACTTAACAAGTACGGCATGAAGCTGAACCCGACTAAGTGTACATTCGGAGTTCCGTCTGGCGAGTTCCTCGGTTACCTAGTAACTGAACGCGGAATCGAGGCGAACCCGAAGCAAATCTCTGCCCTCTTAGATATGCCTTCTCCAGAAAATACTAGAGAAGTACAACGGTTAACCGGTCGAATAGCAGCCCTTAATAGGTTCATTTCCCGGTCAACCGACAAGTGTCTTCCATTTTACCAGCTCCTCCGAGGAAATAAAAAATTCCTCTGGGACGAAAAATGCGAAGAAGCTTTCAAACAGCTCAAAACTTACCTCAGCGAACCTCCTATACTGGCAAAACCAGTAGAAGGAGAACCGCTATACCTTTACATCGCGGTCTCGCCTGCAGCGGTCAGCGGGGTCTTAGTTCGTGAAGAGCTAAACGAACAAAGACCAATCTTTTACGTAAGTAAATCCCTGATTGATGCCGAGACTAGATACCCAGCTATGGAAAAACTTGCCTTAGCAATAGTAATGTCCGCTCGCAAGCTGCGACCTTACTTTCAATCACACACAATCGTGGTGATGACCTCGCAACCATTGCGAACTATGCTACATAGTCCAAGTCAATCTGGACGACTAGCTAAATGGGCTATCGAGCTCAGCGAATACGACATCGAATATCGAACTAGAACCTGTGCTAAAGCCCAGGTACTAGCTGATTTCATGATCGAGCTGGCACCGGAAGCCAATAACGATACCACCCTCTCTAAAGTTTGGACACTCTTCGTAGATGGAGCCTCGTCCAAACAAGGAGCTGGCGTCGGAATCAAACTCACATCTCCAACCGGAGAAGTGATCGAACAATCGTTCAGACTCGGATTCGTCGCCTCTAACAATGAGGCCGAATACGAGGCACTCATAGCCGGACTCCGACTCGCAATCGGGATCGGCGTGAATGAGATCAACGCATTCAGCGACTCCCAGCTCGTTACTAGCCAATACAGCGGCGAGTACGAAGCAAAAGAGGAGCGCATGGAAGCTTATCTCAAAGTAGTTCGAGATTTAGCTGGACAATTCAGTAAATTCGAACTAACTAGGGTGCCTAGGGGAGAGAACACTTCGGCTGACGCCTTAGCTGCTCTCGCCTCCACTTCGGACCCAACTGTAAGACGTGTGATCCCAGTCGAAGGCATAGATAAACCTAGCATCGACATCGCACTCAAGTCTGACAGTATAAACGCAATTACCTCGCGCCCGTCTACTCGTTCTCAAACTAGACAGTCCCAAGATCCGGGACCATCTAACCCGGAACCTGATTCCGAGGAAGAAGAACCTGACCAAGATAGGCAAAAAACAAGGTATATCGATTCGGACTCTTCGCAAAATACGCAAGAGTCCACGATCCATACCGTCCCATCTGCTATGGCGAACGAACTCACCTTAAAGGAAGAGTTCGCTGCGAGACCCGACTGGAGAACCCCTATCATGGAGTATATCCAGCTCGGAGCCGTCCCTAACGAAAAATGGGCTTCTCGCAAGCTAAAAGCCCAGAGCTCGCATTACTGTATAATGGAACCATAAGCTTACAAGCGAAGCCTTATCGAACCATATTAACGTGCATCCACGGAAAGAAGCTTACACCGTAATGCACGAGACTCATCAAGGACCTTGCGGAAGTCATTCCGCAGGCCGAGCTCTCGTCATACGGATCAAAAAGCTAGGCTACTTCTGGCCGAACAATGATAGAGACTGCGAACAGTACTCTAGGCGATGTGACAAATGCCAAAGGCACGCCCCAAGCATTCACGTCCCAGCTGAAACACTCTCATCGATCTCTTCACCTTATCCTTTTATGAGGTGGTCTATGGACATAATAGGACCTATGGTCTCTTCGGGACCAAAGCAATTCCAATACCTATTAGTCCTTACTGACTACTTCACTAAATGGATCGAGGCCAAACCATACCAACAAACGACCGAACTCGAGGTCCGGAAATTTATCTGGAAAGACATCATTTGTCGACACGGGCTCCCTTTCGAGATCGTGACAGATAACGGATCTCAGTTCATAGCTCGAACATTCAAAGACTTCTGCAAGAAGTGGAACATACGCATAACGTATTCCACACCTCGTTACCCTCAAGGGAACGGGCAAGCTGAAGCAACAAACAAAACCCTCTTGAGTAACCTCAAGAAACGACTCGACGCCCGTAAACATAGGTGGTCCGAAGAGCTCGCAGCAGTTCTTTGGGCTTGCCGAACTACACCCACAAAAGCTACTCATGAGACCCCGTTCTCATTAGCTTACGGGCTAGAGGCCGTCATCCCAACTGAAACTTCCGTTCCAAGTCTTCGCAGGATGCAATGTCCAGCGAACGTCGAGCTGAACGAAGAAATGTTGAGAGATCACCTTGACCTTATCGACGAACGTCGAGATCAAGCTCTGATCCGGATACAAAACTATCAACAGGCCGCAGCTCGCTATTACAACTCCAAGGTTAAACACCGGAGATTTCATATAGGCGACATGGTTCTGAGAAAAGTACAAGACTATACCAAAGAGCCCGTGCAGGGAAACTTGGGACCAATTGGGAAGGTCCCTACCTCATTACCGAAGTAGTTCGCGATGGCGTCTACAAGCTCACAAAAGTCAGAAACGGAATACCTGAACTAAGACCTTGGAATGCGATGAACCTGAAAAGGTACTATCACTGAAAAGGATCTAATCTGAGTATCTCCACCCCTCGAACTACGTTTAGGCTTGATCCTCCTTCCCTGGGGGTACGTAGGCAGCTCAACCACGAGTCCAGCCCCAATCCGAATTTACTTCGTTTTATTTGAGACGACCTCATTGGCCGGCCCTAAAACGGGCTCGATTTGTATCATCTCGAATATTATACTTAAATAAAATGTTTTCTATGTTTATCGCTACGAATTGCTCGAATCGACTCAGCAAGTCCTTAAGAAATTCCGAATTACTTAAGCGTATCAATTTACGTCGAAAACGCCTGATCTTGCGTGACCTGAAAAGAAATCGAGCTCTTTCTCTCGTCTCAAAACAGATCGGAAGATCGAGATCACCTCGATATTCCCCTTTCGAACGAAGTGAGGTTCAGAGTCCACCTCTTTACCTTCAATTTCTTACTTCGCAAAAAACCAATCGAAGTCCGCAGCGTCCAAGCATCCAGCGTAGTGTTCTAGCAATCGTAGAACCGAAGACCCAGAGACAGCCCGAAATCTAACACGAAGCCGAGCCATCCAGACGGACCTAAAGTTCACGATTAGCTCGGAACACTATCGGCGAAGCGACAAAACCAAGACGAACTTCGAAAGGTAATAAATTCCATCTCCAAAAGCCGAATAAGAAACACCTCGATCGAAAGACGGGAAAACAACTCCGCAAAGCGCGAGCTACATCAGTTCGCCAAAGAGCTCGAAAAAGAATAAACACCACGTTTAGCTCGATCCGTGCGATCGACGAAAATCGGTAAAATTCGCCTAAGTGTTGAATCGATCTAATCGTCCCGAATTGGACTTGATTCGACCTAAAACTATGTTTAGCTCGTTCCACGCGATCAGCCAAAACTAGTAAAAATTCGCCTAAGTGTTGAATCGATCTAATCGTCCCGAATCGGACTCGATTCGACCTAAAACTACGTTTAGCTCGACCACGATCGGCCAAAACTAGTAAAAATATTCTAAGTGTTGAATCAACCTAAACGGATCGATTCGACCTCCGACTAAAGTACATCTTGGCCCTGGTCTCTCGACCGGCCAAAACACTTAGTCAAAAAGCCTCAAAACATTTTGGCAAGTAAAAACGCGAGCTAAATGAAAGTTGCAAAACAATTTGAGCAAAACGCGCCTAAGGCAAAACGCCTAAAACATTAAAAGCCCCCGCGGGCAAACGAGTTTGTGGATAAAAGCCTTCCCAGGCACCAAATCCGAAACATAAAGCGTAAAAACCCCGCCGGGCAACCAAGTCTTAAAATAAATTGAAAAAGGAGTAGAGATAGAAAGAGGTCGACCAAGAGCTCAGTCCTCGACGGTCATCTCTTCATCTTCCTTCTCTTCCTCCTCGTTGCTTCCCTTCTCTTCGGCATTCGTCCCGAACGGGTTCAAGCCAACCGGGATGCTCGTCGATGGGTCGATCTCCATGCGCGCGACCGAGTCCTCCGAAACCACGGGAAGGTTAACTTCCCGATCGAGAAATCGGAGACTTGGGCCGCCTTGGCTGCTTCGGCCACCTCATCCTCGAGCCCCTTCAACCTGGCGAGCTCTTCCTCCTGGTTGATCGCACCGGAGATCAGCGACGTAAGGAGATCGATGTTGGATTGGAGTTCGATCTGATCGCCCTCCTTCTCACCTTCCACCCTCTTCTCCTCGAACTTTGCCTTAGCCGATTCAAGCACTTCCCGATGCTTCGCGACCATCTCCCTCCGACCTGCGCGGTTGGCACGGCGAGCTACGTTGTCCTTCTCGGCGACGAGTACCTGGTTCTCCCGGCTAAGGCGAAGCGACTGCGTCAGCGCACTCGAGCTCTCCTTCTGCAAAGCCGCCATCTGCTCCTGATTCTGGGACAGCTGGCGCAAGAGATCGGCCTCCCTGGTCTCGAGCTCTTTCACACGACCCTCCTGCGAGGTGTGTTTCTTCAAGAGCTCACCCTGACGAGA